CAAGAGTTTTGATGCGGAAAACCCATTTGCCGCTGAGAATTTATCTCCCCTTTGCCGATGACCGAGGGACCAGCTTCCAGGTACCGCGTTTCGTCAGCGACGCGAGTTCGGCGGCCATGGCTGCTCTCCATTTTTCGCTGTCGGGGCCAGACAGAGCTTGGCGGACGGTGCTTGGTTCCTTGGGGGAGGTGTGGCGAACAGCGACGGCGAGCCCAAGGACCCGGAGACCAGCTTCGTTGGTCTTTTCGTAGTGCAAGCGATCGTAGTTGTGGAAACTGGTTACTTCGACCACGTCATCGTCACTTTCGTCACCGGGGCGGATGGAGTCCCGCGAGGTGTTTGGTGGTGGTCACTCGGTATCTGGGGACTGGCGAGCGGTGCTGTTGAAGTTATGGGCTTCGCGAGTTGTGTCGTTAGGATCAAGTTGGTGTAGAGGGATAAAGGTTGGAGTCTGAAAGGGGCTTGTAAGGGGGATGTTGGGTGCGCTGTCAAATTGGGAGACGTTTGTCGCATCCACATCCTCCGCCAGGTCAGCTTCGTTGTGTGGAGTGGCGAAGCTGCGGTGTCCCTCAAAAACCCTTTCCTGTACCCTGTCAGCTTCGCGGTGTTCGTTAAACAGTGGCAGGGTCAGTTTCTTGTAGAAGATGCAGTCACGTGATCGCGTCACTTCGTGTGTCGCGTAGTCCAGCACGATTCACGCCTTGTATTCTGTTTCGATTTCGAGGTGAATGCCCCAGCGAGCTTGGTCAGCAAACTTTCCGGTCCTTGCTGTATGTGGTCTGTACTGTACCATGCAGCCGAACACCCGAAGTAAGCGCGTGTCTGCCTTTCTGCCCATCCATGCCCTAAAGGGGGAGTTGTTTTTCTCGAGGCTTCAGGACGACAGCAAGTTGTGCAGCCGGACTGCATGGTTCATGGCGAATGGCCAGTAACGAGTTGGGATGGCCGACTGCTTCATCAGGGCCCTCATCCTGGTGGCGAGGCTCCTGTTTGTCCGTTCTGCGACTCCTTGTTGTTCGTGAGCGTAGGGAAGAGACACCAGGTGTTGAATCCCTTTCTTCTGGAAGAGCTCCTTGAACTCGTCTGAGAAGAACTCCAGGGTACCGTCTGTTTGCCAGCTTTTCAGCTTAAGTCCTGATTGTCGTTCGGCTCGCTTCATCCATGCGATGAAGCATTCGAAGGCGAGCGATCTGCAGTCGGTGTTGACAGCCCAAACGTAGCGTGTGCTTGCGTCGATGAAGGTCAGCGTGTAATACTCGCCGTCAAGTCCTCCCTGCGTTAGGCACATGAAGTCGCTGTAGACTTTGTCAAGTGGTTGGTAGCGCTTGTATCCAGGCGGCAAGTCGGGAAAGGGCTTATGAGTAAGCGATGCTGTGGGGCACACTGTGCAAGTCGGGTCATCGGAGTTTGCAGTGAGAAATCCTCCGCGTGGAAGGAGCAGCGCTTCGTTGTCAAGGACGCCAGCCTTTAGTGAGTTCTTGAGTGTTGCGTGAGAGGGATGCCCGAGCCTCTGATGCCAGATTTCTGGTTCCGCTCGATAGCCGACCTTTTTCTTGTAATACTTTTGTCTTGCTGCTTCGTCATCTGCCTCCCCTTCAGGTCCTTTGTCGGCGGCGTTGTCGGCGTCGGCGGCGAATGCGCGGATTGCCTTTTGTTCCAGGAGCGCGGGTGGAATGCCAATGATGTCGTCGGTGTCGCCGGCGTTGACCTGGTCTTCAGTGACGAGCAGGCATCGGTCAGGCCAGTCTTGGACTGGAAGACCTTTCATGGGGATGCGGTAGTAGCTGAACTCGGCTCCGATGACCTCGATTTGTTGTGGTCCTTGTTCTGGTGGCTGCGGTTCCTCGGTAGGTGCTGGCAGCTCTGCTGGTTCGCCCAGAAACTCGTAAGGTATTTCCTGCTCCTCTGACTCTTCTTCCATCGGTTCTGGTGTGTCAGGAGCGTACTGGTCCGGAAGAGGAGGTCCGCCCCAGCTGGTGCCACGTGTCGCCCATTAGGGATCAAGTTCTGCGGTTTCGGCTGAAGGGAGTCATGGAGCTTCGGGATACGGAGGGGCTGCCTGCCTCGGTTCTGATTGGCCTCCAGAAGTTCCCCAGCCGCTTCCGCCGGTGGAGGTGCCCCAGCCACCGGGGTTGTCGTCGGGGCCCCAGCCAGTTCCTTCGCCCGAGCCGCCTCCTGCGCTCCACCCGCCTTCGGCGGCGCCGCTTGCTACTGTTGCCGAGATGGTGCCGCGATCTTCTGTGATCACTTCCTCTGGTGTTAAGACTTCTCCCAAGGGACCAAGTGCAGGGCCAGGACTGACTGGCTCGGTTCCAACTTTTTTGTTTCCTTTGGCGAATGGTTCCGCAGATGCTGACGTGCCGCTGTCTTCTTCCATTGATGCAGGTCCGGTTTCGGCTGGGTTGGAGGTCGAGGCGGTTGGAACGGTGCGCAATCGCAGGAGGCCGTCCGAGGCGGGTCGCTCGAGATCCATCTCTGTGGTTGTCTTCAGCAGTAAGGTGCGGTGAGAGTCTCCTGAGGTGCCTTGAGCGGAGAACTGCAGCACGAAGACCCCGTTATTGTCCACGGCCTTGCCAATGTAAGTGTTGCCGTAGAAAATTTCGTAGAAAAGGTCTTTTCCTTGCGATTGCTCCGTATGTCGACTCCGCACCGCATAAGCTGTGCCGAGGAAAGCAAATTGTATCGTAGATCTGGAGCGACGAGCACGTCTCCGATGTGAATCGTGAAGTGAGTGTCGTCTGCTTCAAGGAAGATCTCACTGATGTCGTATGCCTTGAGTGTGCCATCGTTTGCCACTGTGATTTCGCAGGGTCGTCGCATGCGTTTGGAGTTGGTGATAAATGTTGGAGACCCCACCATGTGCTGTCCGCAGCAGCTGTCCAGGTACCAGGTATTGATGTTCTCGCGGCTTTGTCTCGCGATGTTGGCGATTTTGGGTGTGATCACGCGATCCATTTCGCCGGTGTATGGCAAGAGAGCGAAGTATCGATTTGCCGAGATGCTGGGAGGTGATTCCGGTGTTGGCGGTGGCAATTCGAAGTCAGGTGGGTGCCTCTGAGGGGAGGTAGTCCAAGTGGGAGTAGTGGGGTCGTTGTTCGAACTGGGCGCAACAGGGTTGATCGGATCATCGGACGGGAATGTCACGCGATCGTAGTAACGAAAGCCTCTATTGCGGCGAGCCATGCAGCTCATGATAGTCCCTTTTCCCTTGTCTTTTGCCGTGATGAGTGCAGGGGATTGAGAAGTGCTGGCGACGGAAGGAGGTGACACAGTGGCGGTAGACTTTGTCTGTGATGATGACTGTTGGTTGGAAGCGTTGCGCCGCTCGTCAGCGGCCTGACGCTTGTAGCACTGGTCAATGGAGTGGCCAGACTTCTTGCAGTTTTTGCAAAACGCTCCCTTCTTTCCGCGTTGCTCCCCTTGTGATGCTCGTGTGTAAAAGACTAATTTCTCCCGTTTGACATTCTTCTCGTTGTACAAGTCGATTTCCTTCTGCTCCGAAAGAAGCGTGGCGCACAGAGCCGATTCTGATATGGTTGCTCGGGCGCGAAGGAGTGACTGGCACTGTCGCCAGTCGGGACCGAGGCCAGAAATGACCATCAAGATGAACATGTCGTCGGGGACGCTCCCACCGCATTTCTTGACTTGATCGCGCAGATTGCGGCACCGATTGACATACGGTCCCGCCTTCTCCCCTTGCTTTATTTTGACCGAAGTTAGCTGGCTATGCAGACGACTCATGGTAACTGGATATGTTGCCATGTAAGAGTTGCGCAGGTGTTCCCAGGACGAGTAAGCGGGAGCCCACTCCGTCTTGTAAGGACGGATGCCAAGCTGTTCTTCAGGTGAGAGGTTGCGAAGAAGAGCGGTGTACGCGAGGAGAGATTCGTGGTAGTATTGATGCTTCTCCTGAGTGGTGCCTTTCGAAGGAAAGGGTAAGCTTCCGTCGTAGTACATCCAGATCTGAGCGGTTGTTGCGAGAAGCTCGAATTCGAAACTCCACGTGTAGAAATCCTTTCCGTCGAAAGGAATTGAGGTCTTCAATTTTGAGGTCAATACAAATTTAGTTTGCATTGAAGCGATGTCTGACTGTGAGCGTCGTGAGTTGTCTTGTGCAGGAGCTGACCCTTGACGATTGTCAAAGGTGAAGGATCTCTCAGAGTTGACGCGGCGGTCTTCTCCAGGGAGAGGAAGTCCAACAACGCCACGTGCATAGCTTGAGCCGTCAACGCTCATTGCTTGATGGCTTTCAAGGGCGTTGATGCGTGCGACCAGCTCCCCAACGACAGCGGCGCTGACGGAGGTCACTGCTGATGGCGCGTTATGTGAAAAAGTAGGTGTGGGGCCTAGGCTTAGTAGCCTAGGCCCACACTAGGAGGTAGGTGAGTTCGAGTGGGTTAGGTGAGTATCGAGAAATTTGGAAGGGAAGTCAAGTGACTAGCAAGAGTTGGGATACAAGTACATTGCCCTAAATTGGGTTGTACTCATTACAGAGTACCCCACTGCAGGCTAGACAGCAAATATATTCTAACACACCCCCATAGCCAAAGTGGGGTGAAATCAGCAGAGCAGGCAAAGCAGTACAAGCTCAGGGTGGATCACAATGTCACCACACATTCTGAGCACAAGTTCAAGAAGCAATAGTTAAAGTGCACAATTATCAGCAAAGCTAGTGGTGGTCACAACGGGCAAGTGAGGAGGAGGAGGGAGAGTGAGAGGAGAGGAGATGGGAGGCGACTGCTGAAGCTGCAGACACACGGGCAACAGGAGCGGCTGGCACAGTGGCTACCGGGACAGCGCCCCGGACTACTGGAGTAACTGGCTCGGCGGCTACGAAGAGCGGCAGGAGCAACGGACCCACGGGCGACAGGCGCAGCAGGCTCACTGGGCTACAAGGACAGCGCCCCGGACTACAGGTGCTGCGGACTACAAGACGGCAGCCTCCGCTCAACCTCCCACAAAGAGTCCCACCCCCCTGACACACACCCGCTGCTACACCCCTAGCTCCACTCCCACGCACCCCCCTTAAACCCTAAACCTCAGTCTCCCACACAACCACCCCCCTCAGCGACAGCTGCAGCAGTGGGAGACGACGGAGGAGGAGAAGGAAGGGGCGACACAAACGAAGCACCCCCACACCCGCAAACGGGGGGGGGAGGGGGGGGGGGGGGGGAACAGTGCGCACGAGGGCGCAGACAGTAGCAGAGCGCACGGGGGCGCGAGCACGAGGCACGGGCAGCAACAGGCACGGGCAGCACAGGCACGGGCAGCACAGGCACGGGCAGCACAGGCACGGGCAGCAACAGGCACAGGCAGCACAGGCACGGGCAGCACAGGCACGGGCAGCACAAGCACGGGCAGCACAGGCACGGGCAGCAACAGGCACGGGCAGCACAGGCACGGGCAGCACAGGCACGGGCAGCACAGGCACGGGCAGCACAGGCACGGGCAGCAACAGGCACGGGCGGCACATGCACGGGCAGCAACAGGCACGGGCAGCACAGGCACGGGCAGCACAGGCACGGGCAGCAACAGGCACAGGCAGCACAGGCACGGGCAGCACAGGCACGGGCAGCACAGGCACGGGCAGCACAGGCACGGGCAGCAACAGGCACGGGCAGCACAGGCACGGGCAGCACAGACACGGGCAGCACAGGCACGGGCAGCAACAGGCACGGGCAGCACAGGCACGGGCAGCACAGGCACGGGCAGCATAGGCACGGGCAGCACAGGCACGGGCAGCAACAGGCACGGGCAGCACATGCACGGGCAGCAACAGGCACGGGCAGCACAGGCACGGGCAGCAACAGGCACGGGCAGCACAGGCACGGGCAGCACAGGCACGGGCAGCAACAGGCACAGGCAGCACAGGCACGGGCAGCACAGGCACGGGCAGCACAGGCACGGGCAGCAACAGGCACGGGCAGCACAGGCACGGGCAGCACAGGCACGAGCAGCACAGGCACGGGCAGCAACAGGCACGGGCAGCACAGGCATGGGCAGCAACAGGCACGGGCAGCACAGGCACGGGCAGCACAGGCACGGGCAGCACAGGCACGGGCAGCACAGGCACGGGCAGCAACAGGCACGGGCAGCACAGGCACGGGCAGCACAGGCACGGGCAGCACAAGGCGTACCGGGTCCAGGGGCGGCTTCTGGGGTCCAGGGGCGGCATCTGCAGCTGGGCGGCGGTAGCTGCTGCGGCAGAGCGGCGGCGGCTGCTGCTGCTGATAGAGCGGCGGCTGCTGCTGCTGGGTTGGTGGCGGCAGCTGCTGCAGGTCTGGCGGCTGCTGCTGCTGCAGACTCTGGCGGCGGCTGCTGCTGTAGACTCTGGCGGCGGCTGCTGCTGCAGGCTCTGGCGGCGGCTTATGCTGCAGGCTCTGGCGGCGGCTGCTGCTGCAGACCCTGGCGGCGGCTGCTGCTGAAGACCCTGGCGGCGGCTGCTGCTGCAGGCTCTGGCGGCGGCTGCTGCTGCAGACCCTGGCGGCGGCTGCTGCTGCAGGCCTGGCGGCGGCTGCTGCTGCTGGGTGGTGGCGGCCGCTGCTGTAGGCTCTGGCGGCGGTTGCTGCTGGCTCTGACGGCGCCCCGCAGATCCTGCACGGACGCCGCGACGAGCAGGGGCGACGCCCCGCGGGTCCCGCACGGACGTCGCGACAAGTAGGGCGGCGCCGCGCGGGTCCCGCACGGACGTCGCCACGAGCAGGGGCGACGCCCCGCGGGTCCCGCACGGACGTCGCGACGAGCAGGGTGACGCCGCGCGGGTCCCGCACGGGCGTCGCGACGAGCAGCGGGGAGGGCAGCGCGCAGGCCCCCCGAGGGCGCTTCGAAGGACGGGAAAACCGCCGCGCGCCCCGAGCGCACGGCGGGATGAAAAACTCCGAAATCCTAAAAAAAAATTTAGGAAGAAGGACTGCAGCGGAAGCATAGGGGCCCACAGGCCAAGGTAGAACGGGCTCTGATAACATGTGAAAAAGTAGGTGTGGGACCTAGGCTTAGTAGCCTAGGCCCACACTAGGAGGTAGGTGAGTTCGAGTGGGTTAGGTGAGTATCGAGAAATTTGGAAGGGAAGTCAAGTGACTAGCAAGAGTTGGGATACAAGTACATTGCCCTAAATTGGGTTGTACTCATTACAGAGTACCCCACTGCAGGCTAGACAGCAAATATATTCTGACACGTTAGTCGTTGTTGGTGGTGGGCCCGGTGAGTCTGCAGTAGATTTTCCTTCAGGAGCCATAATATTGCAGACTTAGAGATGTAATGAGTAATTTTATAAGGAGATTGTTCTGGAAAGAACGAGAACTTGAGAGATCCTATAATCCACTCTTGCTCTCATACCATGCTGATATAACCTAAGGATCTAGTGGACAGGATAGTATCTGTTAAGTCTGAGAGGAGACAATGAAGTCTCTGTGGTGACCTTGTTGAATAATAATTGAAAGAAAACAAGATGGTTAAAGGATAGGAGTACAAGGGATAAAATAGAAGCCTAGCTAGCCATGTACTCTGAGGGGTACATTCCCTTATTAACTGTATTGCATAGCTACAGTATCCGCGACTATTGCTATCCTCGACAGTTACCATGTTGCAGTAAGTTAACTGCCGTGCGTTTACTGGATCGTCAAGGTGACCTTCGGGTGACCTAAGACGTTCCGCATGCTCTATATGAGCTATTGCGAAACTGGTACAGTGGTGCAGCTTCGGGAATGCCTTATATAACCTTTCGGCTATTCCAACACGAATAGTAATATCTTAGTATTGCTGTGCACTCCTCACCGCAGCAAGAGAAGCATGCACTATCGAGAAAGAACGCGAAGCGTCAGCCGGTTGGGATTGAACCGAAACGTCAGATGGTTACAGAACATCTGGACCGTCGGGAGCAGACGGCATCAGGCACCCACAGGCAGGATGGTTTTGGCGGGAACAGTTACGAAACTGTATGTGTGAAAATAGTAGGTGTGGGGCCTAGGCTTAGTAGCCTAGGCCCACACTAGGAGATAGGTAAGTTCGAGTGGGTTTCTCCTAGGGGAGAGTATCGAGAAATTGGAAGAGAAGTGGTTTGACTAGCAAGAGTTGGGATACAAGTACATTGCCCTAAATTGGGTTGTACTCATTACAGAGTACCCCACTGCAGGCTAAACAACAAATATATTCTGACACACCCCCATAGCCAAAGTGGGGTGTAATCAGCAGAGCAGGCAAAATAGTACAAGCTCAGGGTGGATCACAATGTCACCACACATTCTGAGCACAAGTTAAAGAAGCAATAGTTTAAAGTTAAGAATTATGAGCAAAGCTAGTGGTAGTCACAACGGGCAAGTGAGGAGGAGGAGAGAGAGTGAGGGGAGAGGAGATAGGAGGAGACGGCTGAAGCTGCAGACACACGGGCAACAGGAGGCAGACTGGCACAGCGGCTACCGGACAGCGCCCGGACTACAGGAGTAACAGGCCCCGCGGCTCAAGTAGCGGCAGACGGGCAACGGACCCACGGGCGGCTGGCGTAGAAGTCTAGCTCACTGGGCTACCGGGACAGCGCCCCGGACTACAGGTGCTGCGGACTACAGTACGGCAACTTCCATGCAGCTTCCCCAAACAGTCCCACCCCCCTGACACACACCCGCTGCTACACCGCTAGCTCCACTCCCACGCACCCCCCTTAAACCCTAAACCCCAGTCTCCCACACAACCACCCCCCTCAGCGACAGCTGCAGCAGTGGGAGACGACGGAGGAGGAGAAGGAAGGGGCGACACAAACGGAGCACCCCCACACCCGCAAACGGGGGGGGGGGGGGGGGGGGGGGGGGGGACAGTGCGCACGAGGGCGCAGACAGTAGCAGAGCGCACGGGGGCGCGAGCACGAGACACGGGCAGCAACAGGCACGGGCAGCACAGGCACGGGCAGCACAGGCACGGGCAGCACAGGCACGGGCAGCAACAGGCACAGGCAGCACAGGCACGGGCAGCACAGGCACGGGCAGCACAGGCACGGGCAGCACAGGCACGGGCAGCAACAGGCACGGGCAGCACGGGCACGGGCAGCACAGGCACGGGCAGCACAGGCACGGGCAGCACAGGCACGGGCAGCAACAGGCACGGGCAGCACAGGCACGGGCAGCAACAGGCACGGGCAGCACAGGCACGGGCAGCACAGGCACGGGCAGCAACAGGCACAGGCAGCACAGGCACGGGCAGCACAGGCACGGGCAGCACAGGCACGGGCAGCACAGGCACGGGCAGCAACAGGCACGGGCAGCACAGGCACGGGCAGCACAGGCACGGGCAGCACAGGCACGGGCAGCAACAGGCACGGGCAGCACAGGCACGGGCAGCACAGGCACGGGCAGCACAGGCACGGGCAGCAACAGGCACGGGCAGCACAGGCACGGGCAGCACAGGCACGGGCAGCAACAGGCACGGGCAGCACAGGCACGGGCAGCACAGGCACGGGCAGCACAGGCACGGGCAGCAACAGGCACGGGCAGCACAGGCACGGGCAGCACAGGCACGGGCAGCACAGGCACGGGCAGCAACAGGCACAGGCAGCACAGGCACGGGCAGCACAGGCACGGGCAGCACAGGCACGGGCAGCACAGGCACGGGCAGCACAGGCACGGGCAGCACAGGCACGGGCAGCACAGGCACGGGCAGCAACAGGCACGGGCAGCACAGGCACGGGCAGCACAGGCACGGGCAGCACAGGCACGGGCAGCACAGGCACGGGCAGCAACAGGCACAGGCAGCACAGGCACGGGCAGCACAGGCACGGGCAGCAACAGGCACAGGCAGCACAGGCACGGGCAGCACAGGCACGGGCAGCACAGGCACGGGCAGCACAGGCACGAGCAGCACAGGCACGGGCAGCAACAGGCACAGGCAGCACAGGCACGGGCAGCACAAGCACGGGCAGCAACAGGCAGGGCAGCACAGGGCAGCACAGGCAGGGCAGCACAGGGCAGCACAGGCAGGGCAGCACAGGGCAGCACAGGCAGGGCAGTACAGGGCAGCACAGGCAGGGCAGTACAGGGCAGCACAGGCAGGGCAGCACAGAGCGTACCGGGTCCAGGGGCGGCAGCTGCTGCAATCTCTGGCGGTGGCTGCTGCTGCAGGCTCTGGCGGCGGCTGCTGCTGCAGGCCTGGCGGCGGCTGCTGCTGCAGGGCGGCGGCTGCTGCTGCTGGGTGGCGGTGGCTGCTGCGGCAGAGCGGCGGCGGCTGCTGCTGTTGGATCGGTGGCGGCAGCTGCTGCAGGCTCTTGCGGCGGCTGCTGCTGCAGACTCTGGCGGTGGCTGCTGCTGCAGGCCTGGCGGTGGCTGCTGCTGCAGGCTCTGGCGGCGGCTGCTGCTGCAGGCCTGGCGGCGGCTGCTGCTGCAGGGCGGCGGCGTCTGTTGCTGCAGGCCCGGCGGCGGCTGCTGCTGCAGGGCGGCGGCGTGTGTTGCTGCAGGCCCGGCGGCGGCTGCTGCTGCAGGGCGGCGGCGGCTGCTGCTGCAGGAACTGACGGCGCCCCGCGGGTCCCGCATGGGGCGTCGCGACGAGCAGGGGCGACGCCCCGCGGGTCCCGCACGGACGTCGCGACAAGTAGGGCGGCGCCGCGCGGGTCCCGCACGGACGTCGCGACGAGCAGGGGCGACGCCCCGCGGGTCCCGCACGGACGTCGCGACGAGCAGGGTGACGCCGCGCGGGTCCCGCACGGGCGTCGCGACGAGCAGCGGGGAGGGCAGCGCGCAGGCCCCCCGAGGGCGCTTCGAAGGACGGGAAAACCGCCGCGCGCCCCGAGCGCACGGCGGGATGAAAAACTCCGAAATCCTAAAAAAAAATTTAGGAAGAAGGACTGCAGCGGAAGCATAGGGGCCCACAGGCCAAGGTAGAACGGGCTCTGATAACATGTGAAAATAGTAGGTGTGGGGCCTAGGCTTAGTAGCCTAGGCCCACACTAGGAGATAGGTAAGTTCGAGTGGGTTTCTCCTAGGGGAGAGTATCGAGAAATTGGAAGAGAAGTGGTTTGACTAGCAAGAGTTGGGATACAAGTACATTGCCCTAAATTGGGTTGTACTCATTACAGAGTACCCCACTGCAGGCTAAACAACAAATATATTCTGACAGTATGCGCCGCACGGTTCGGAATGTATTTGAATAAGGGAATGTACCCCTTAGAGTACATGACTAGCTAGGTCGTTTCGTCTT